AGTGTGGGATGTGAAGGTGAAGAGAAAATTGTAAGACTAGGAAATTGATGAGTACAACAACCTGCTTTTGTCACTGATAGAAATAAATTTTGAATATAGAAAATGATAAAAGAATATGAAAGCTTGATGAGAAGAAAGGTTTCTCGGTGAAATCTTTATACAGTTGTCTAACTAAGAAGGATAACAGCCGCAGTATGTCTGCTCCTTATAAGCAAATTCGGAAATCTAAAATCCCTCATAGAATAGCTTTTTTTGCATGGAAGGCGGCCAATGAATGTATTTTGACCCTGGATATGCTAAAAAAGAAGGGGAATGTGTTGGTTAATAAATACTATTTATGTCATGCTGCTGAAGAATTGTGCAACCACTTATTATTATTTTGCCCAGTGACATACAACATTTGGGTATCTATTTTTGGACTGTTAGGCTTAAATTGGTTATGACTGGGAGTGTGAGTAATGAGTTGTGAGCGTGGGTGGACATTTGTAAAGAAAAAAAAATCATTTGTTCTTTATTCCACTTACAATTGTTTGGGTTGTGTGGAAGGAAAGGAATGGAAGAGTTTTTGAGAATATAGAAACTAACTTTACAAAAACTAGAGATAGATGGATTCATACTTTTGCCTCTATTTTGTTAAGTCATTACATTAAAGACATGTGAGACTTTGGTGTTGTCATAAACCACTTGATTGACATGTAACTAATTTGTATTCGAGTGGTATCTCTTAGGTACCTTGTGCATAATAATATTTTCCTTTTATTGCAAAAAAAAAATGTATGATGCTAAGTAATTAAGATGCAATTAGCTATTTAGAGACATAATAGAACAAAAGCTCAATGACAACAAAAGAAACTTAGAGTACAAGGTTAGACACTATGGAGATGTTTTTTTTTTGTTTGTATGATGAGTATGAGTAAAAAGGGTGGATGCAAGAGATGCAATATATGATAACCAAATGAAGGATAACAATTATGCAAAAATTATAGAAGGTAGTAAGATCTATTTAAAGTTTAAATTCTGATACCAAATGATGCAGAATTTAGAATTAACCAATGTGATAAAAAATTCATGCATACAATTTATCATGTAAAAATTAATTTCTAAACAAATTCTCTCTACTTAATCCACAATCAACCTATGATTGCAAATTAAGTTATTGGGAAGAAGAATGAGAATTGATAAAATACTATAAAAGTTATTTTGATGAGTAGAATTAATTTTTCATTCAAGAAGGTTGAAGAGACCTCTCAAAAAGCACTCACAATAGTCAAAAGTTATGAAAGAAAAAATTTATAATGATATTGATGAAAACCAAATTGAATTGAATACAACTAAAGATGTAAGACCTTTATATAGCCATAGGCCTTGAGAATTACAATAAAACTTAAAATTTAAAATCTAAGAAACAAATCTTGAAATTTTTTCTCGAACTCTTAAAGAAAATAATAAAACAAAAACTTATAAATTAACAAAAATTAAGACTCTTCACTCTTGGATAGTTGTTGAATTCTTCAAAGATTATAACCGACCTTTCTTGAACTATTTGACTCGGTTTTGAACTTCAGTATTTAATAAATTTCGTTGTTGAAGATGTGTTGAAGATAGATTACGATGTATCCCAAGTTGAAGTAGAAATAACTCTTCTTTCATGAGAAAATCAAGGATAGAATTCAGCCATGAGTGTGAGATCATCTCCTTTGAGCTTTCCCCCTCCAGTATGATTCCAAAACTTTATTTAATATTAGTTT